TAATTCCAAAGCTATCTTATCTGGAATAAACTCAGTGAAATCCATTTAATTTAAGCATGTTATAAATAACTTAATTCTTATTTAGCCAGAAGATTTAATCTATGTATGGTGGGGTCTAGAACCAAACCATTTTTTAAATAAAAAGCTATCTTTTAACTTAGAGTTATGTATTTAGGAAGATCCTGCAAAGCACTTTCCATTGCTGAGCACCACCTTACTGTATTTTTCACTCCATAAGAAGCACTTTCCGCCTCCCCCCAAAAGTGGGTGGAAATGTCTGTGCATCTTATGGAGCAAATATTGCAGCTGGGCTGCCACCATGGGGTCCTTTTACAGTGCTGAAGCCTGCCAGAGTACAGGAGTCAATAGGCAGAGCTGGCACATGAGAGGACACCTATCTGTGGTTTTCTCAGGCTCTGCCTCCTGCCCTCACTTCACTGCTGCTTCATATTCAGTGCTCCATATTCACAGTGAGACAGCGCTCCATATTCATATTTTTTCCTTGCTTTCCTCCTCTAAACCTAGGTGTTTCTTATGGTTAAGTGCGCACAGTGCAAAAAATAAGATAATTGTTAGCAATAGGAGGGTGTCTTAAGATAGATAGATGATAGATGATAGATAGATAGATGATGATGATAGATGGATGGATGGATGGATGGGTGGATGGATGGATGGATAGATGGATAGATGGATAGGATAGGATAGGATAGGATAGGATAGGATAGGATAGGATAGGATAGGATAGGATAAGATAAGATNAGGAGCAGCTGGAGCATCGCACAGACGCTAGTACGCATGCGTGCGCTGCGTGCGTGCATGCGCGCACCGCACGCGTGCACGAGGACGCCGCCGGCCCCGTTCCAACCGAACTGGTTGGAACGGGGCGAGGAACCCACCCCTGCATGGAGTCTGTTTCCTAATTTAATCTACCTGAAAGAGGAGCCTCTTTCAAGAGTCACTGGGCATTACCTCTCCTTCTTCTTATATCCCAATGAATCATGGAGGAAATTGCCTTAGTTAAAACATTAATTCTGCACACAGATCTACTGTCCATATTCAAAATACCAGCTAAAAAAAATTGTTAAAAAGGAACAATATAAAAAAAAACCCCACAAGGTGGCACCAGTGTGCTACAAATGATGTATTCGCTGCCAAATCTCTAAACGGGGATACTTGGCAGGTTATTATCATTAAATTATTACTACAGATTGCAAGAAATTTCTAAATAAAAATTCTACCTTCAAAAATACATCCTGTGATTTGACTGTGGATGGACATTAACTCCATCTCATAACTTGCACAGAGAAATAAAAGACTAAATTAGATTGAGCTCAACACACCAAGGTAACATCAAAAACTGAACAAATTCCTGACTATATGTATTTATCTATGTTCAAAGAAACAGAAGCTTCCTGAAGCCAAAGTTCTTTTGCTTCAATTACATACATTTTCCAGTTTCTTGGAGATTTCAATATATTAATCGCAGGCTCTAGGGATGATAGAAAATTCTTTACCCAAAGTGACCCCACTTGTATTTCTGCTGAGCTCTATCCTTTCTACCAGGGATGAGCAACCAGTGGCTCTGGATTCCCATGTGGCTGTTTCATCCCTCTGCTATGGCTCCCTGTCATCGGTCAGCTCCACAATTGATAGGGCTTTCGGTTAAGACAGGTAGAGGAAAAAGGAGGCCGTGCTAGGAGGAGACTCTATGGTGGAGGAATCAGACTTCCGGCCAGCTTCAGAATCGAAGGGGGGGGGGCTTCCGGTTAGGACCTTTGTGGCTCTTTGAGTGTTTAAGGTTACCGATCTCTGCTTTACTTACTTTACTTTATTGTCATTGTANTAACAGAGAACATTAGCAGAAATAAAAACATTTTTATATTTTAACCTTTTTCGTACCAAAACAGTTTTCCTACTAAATACTCCTAAAAATGAGTTTGCTATACCATATTCAAGTATACTCAATAAATTCAAAGTATATTAAAGATATTGTTTTAGTATCCTTTCAGCTTTCCAAAGAACGAAATGCAGTCTGCCTACTAAGAATGAACCAAAGCATATCCTCTTCCATTTAGAAATGTTTAGCTGAGCAAAGGAATCCTATCTATACATTCTGAATATATAACAATTCTCTATTTTGGTGAATTCCTGATTGTGTTACAAAATCCAGACCCCAGGGTCATTAATTGGGGAATCAAGGGAGAATGGGTCTGGTTAATTGAAATTCTTATGTTTTTTGAATATGGAATTAGATTATATGACCTCTGTTCCCTTTTAGATATACAGAACCTACGAACACTATAAATATATTCAACAAAATATTTCCCCTCTTCCCACTTTTTTTTCAATTTTGTTGAATCGGTTAATCCCTTCATGTAGAAATTTCTGTAAGCCCAACGGTTACAACTTGCACATTTACCACATGTATAAACAAGACTCTTCACTTCCGTTACTAACTTTCTAAACCTAGTAAAACCATAGCAATCCTTAACTGGCTTTTGAAAATATGCAGGTCATCTTTACGAGTAGTGAGACTAAGTCATTCAGCTTCTTTATTACTATTTTTTTTCCCCATGATTGCTCATTACTTTCATGACTAAATTATATCCTATATGAGTTTTGAACACAACTTTTATGAGAACCATTATGTCTGTGTTCAACTGGCTTCTTATTTTTAAAGTAACACAGACGTGAGAAACAACTTGCCAAAATGGAATGCAACGTTTATATATTTTTGCACTACTCCCAAGCATGGGAAATGTTTTAAAACAATCTTAGTAGCTTGAATATTGAACTGAAGCATGGATTATCAAAGAATTGGAGATAAAAAGCAGTGATCTTCAGATTTCCTTAGCCCCAGGGGTCCACCAATGAGGCATGCACCTGGATATCTCCGTGACCGCCTCCTGCAACATACCTCCCAGCGTCCAATAAGATCGCACAGGGCGGGCCTTCTCCGGGTACCGTCGGCCACACAATGCCGTCTGGCGGCTCCTCAGGGGAAGAGCCTTCTCTGTTGCTGCCCCGGCCCTTTGGAACGATCTACCCCCTGAGATCCGGACCCTCCCCATTCTCTCGGCCTTTTGTAAGTCCGTTAAGACTTGGCTGTTCCGGCAGGCCTGGGGCTGTTGATCTT